TATTATTTTATACAAAAGTCTTGCCAGTATGTCAATTTTCTTGTTTTTCTACTTTAAATAATACTCTATCCTATTACATTTGACTTTATCTACATATATTTTATTTTGGTATTTTGCTTTTTTTTTGCAAGAATGTCTGCTCTATCATTTTACTTATTTTCACTATAACTTTTAATCTTAATTATTTTTATTCTAATGTTCTTATTCTTGATTAGATCTACAATATTTATTATCCATATTGCATTTTTCTTTTTCAAGATTTTGTCCTTTTCTATATTTTGAAATGCTCTATTAATGTTTCTTAATGCTACTATACTATCTATAAAAACTTCTATGCTTTTCTCTTCTAGTATTGTTAAGATTGTTATTTATATTGCTGCTAATTCTGCTATTGTTGCTAAAGGCTAGCCTTTAAGTCCAAATGCAATTTTCTCCTCTGGTCAGTTTTCTTCCTCTTCTACTTGTATCCAACTGATACTCATTCTTTCTGTATTATTTTCTTTTTTTTTCTTATATAATACTCTATCAGTATAAAAACTGTATTTTCTTTTGTATCTTTTTTTGTTTTATGTCAATATCTCTACTAACTGCTTTGTAATTATGCTCTCTATTTCTTGTTTTCTAATCAGTACTATTTCTAATTCTTCTGTTTATTTTATTTCTAGTAACTTTATTTTATCTTTTTTCCATTCTTCTATTATTTTATCTTCTAGTATCTGCTTTAATGTTGCATTTATTCTATTGTTAGCCTTCTCTATTAGCAACTCTGGTATCACTTTCATGTTGTGGTCTTGTCTTATTCATCTTTCACACTTGTCTGTCATTTGTTCTAACTGTTTTCACTACCTTTACATATACTTAATTCTGTCAATATTCTACCTTCTTCTATATACATTAACTAATGTTCTGTTAACATTTTTTTCTTTTTTTTTTCTAATTATTTTGCCTACTTGTTAATTATGTTTCAGTTTATAAATAATCCATTCTTTTTTTCTTCAGTCTTTAAACATCTTTGTCTACTTAATCTTTAGTGCTTGTGAATTGTATCTTTTTATTTTGTATTGGTCTTGTATTTCTCTACTTACTTGTGTTTTTAAAATCTTTTCTTCTATTTTACTAAATCACTTCACTTTCTTTTCTTTATATAATAAATCTTGAAGACTCTTAAGCTGTCTCTATGTAATTAGATTATCACCTTTCATATTTATAAGTTGGTTCAAGTATAATAACCTCTATTTATTTATTGTACTACTGCTTACTATCTATGTTTTTGTTTCTAGCATGTCTCTTATTTGTTTGTCATATCTATAAATCTTCTATAAGGGTCTTTCTGCTTTAATGTTCATTTTCATTTCTTTTGCTTTAGTTATTGTTTGACAGACTAGTTTGTTCTTCCACAACTTCTTAACTTTTATTTTTCTTTTATTGTCCCAAATGTCTTCTGTTAAGTCTACTTTCTGGCATCTTTGAGCTATTCTAAGTTTTGTTAATTCATCCAAACTATCTTGTCTATTGAGTTTTGAGAAAAAACTACTTATATGCTTGGTTATTATTTTTTGACTTAGAGTTTTACAATTAACTAAGTCTTTGTATCTAATTGTGCAATTATTTAATATTCTCATCATATTACATTTATATTTAATCAGACATATTAATGATTAATATATTTTATCAATCATTTTTTCTAATATTTTCATTAGCTATAAGAGATATTCTAGTTTAGGAATTATTACTATATTGTTAATATATATGATTTGGCTCATTGTCATCCTTTTGTATCTAAGATCTTTGACTGTTTGACTAACTATTTCTTTTACTTTAAGAATGCTATTTATAGTCTGAGTAGATTATGTTCTAAGAATAACATATTTTTTGTCAATAACTTGATTGAATTGTTGTCAAAATAGAAGAAAATTTTTGAGATAATGAATATAAAAAAGTTATTTTAAATTGAGTAAACATATTGAAGTCATGATTGAATCAAGATTAAGTTGATAAAGATAAGTAATTAAAGATTACATTGTAACTGTTTATTTTTTTATTTTTTTAATATTAATGATAAGGTTATGTTTCTGTCTTTATTGAATATTTAATTAAGATTTTATATAAAATACAATTCTGTTTTTAAAATATTATAGAAAGAATAAAAACTCAGACTAATTTATCTATGGCCTAAACTAACCAGAATGATCAAGATTTATTTAGATTTGAGTGTTAGTAATTATGTATAGAGGATTAGTTTGATATTTAATCTATTAGATATATCAGAAGTTTATTTTTGAGTTAATAAAATTGAGTAGAGGAGAATGTAATAAAAGTGAAGCAGTATTTGAAGATATGTTATATTTAGGAATATGAGCTATAGATCTTGAGATACAATATGAAATCTAGATTTTATAATAAATTTGTTGATTAAAATGAAATAAAAACTTTATAACAAATTTTATAACTAATTTTTTGGATAACAGATTTGTAATAATATCATTAAGTTCATTTGGTATTAGACTTATAAGAGTTAAAAAGATTAAAGATAGATCTGGTATGCTATAAATAATTATATTAATCAACAGCTTAATTTAGTTATATAAATTGGTTATAGTATTTGAAGTAGTATTAAGTATTTTAGTATTTAAAATATATTGTAATGAAATATCTATAAGGTTGTATAACAATTAATTAGATAGACAGATTGTTTAGTAGAGATAAGAACTAATTTGATAGCATTGATAACAAATAGGTGAGTATAAGTGATATTTTTTATATAAAATATATGGAATAGAAAGATCATTTAATAGAATTTTGATTCTAAAAGATTTAAGAATAGAGGATTAAAAGCTATATAAGAAGTTTGAGATTTTTTGATTATTGTTGATATATAGTCAAGTAGTTTGTCAATTAACTTAGTTATAAATTTGTACCATTTTTAAAAACAGTTTTGTGTAATCTATAATGTATAAATATATGTATGATATATTGTATGAATACTATGATAAATAGGTAATTCTAAAGAAAAGTTTTCAAAGTTTAAAGTATATATAGGATTATAAATATTATAGAACATAAAGATAAGATATGATAAATTATAATAACTGCATATGAGTTAGTTTACAAGGTTGTTGTACTGATTGTTCTGATAAATAGTAATTTTATAAAAAATAATATAAATATTATATAATTTAATAAAATTAATAAGTATATTTCATAATAAGAAATATGATGTATGTATATAAAATAAAATACGAATTGAGTTTGAAAAACTATGATATTTAAAGATTATAAAATATAAGTCAGTATATATGTATATAATATAGTTTCTAGAAGCAATAATAAGAACTATTAAGATAACAATAAGTTCAACTTTAAATGAATAAGATCAGTATCTTATTTAGACTTGAAAGATATGTAATATATTATTGTTTAAAATTTAGATGTATTCAATGCTTATAGAGCATTGTGAAATGTCCAAGTTAATGATAGAACCATTTGTATAAAAATAAAGTTCTGATAATTGTGTATTGTATTTAGTGATTTGTTGAAGATTGTCTGTTAAAATATTGAATTCAAATATTATTGGAATTAAGTATATTGTAATGTTGATATTAGAGAGATTAGGAATTTGAATAAGATGTTGAATTGTAATGGAATACATAAGATCAAGATGGTTGGCATTGAAGTTGAGAGTTTTGTTGCATGTATTGACTTAATCAAAGAATCTAGAAGAGAGATTGATAGGAATGTTAATTGTACATTTGTTGGCAATTGTGTAAGAATTGAGAGAGTAATCTGGACATATTTGTGATTGAATAAGTGAAAGTACATTGAAAATCAGCCAATTGACCGTATTATGGACTGGTCATGGAACACGGTCCAGTCCGCGGCCCTCTTCTAGGACCAGTAAGACCGGACCGGGACGGACTGTAACATACCTAGTATAATAATTAAGATTTAGATTAAAATTACTTTAGCTTTAAAAAAACTTCGTTTTTGCAATAACTTTTTTTTCGTTTCAATTTTCAATTAATTTGATTGGCCAATAATCACGCATGGACTTATATAAATTAGCAAATCACGTAAATACTATAACCTGTTAAAATACGAGTTTCTGCTATGATGTCATGAACTGAATCCTAGGAGTTTTGTCTCTGAAGTTTCAATTTTAACAAATTTGAATGACTTACGACAATATAAAAGTTGCTTCAATATTCTTAGTATGAAGCGAAATTGTACTATAACTGCTTAAATTAATTCGCATAAATATAACTAGATCAAATCAATTTTTAATCACTTATTTGGTACACTTGTCTGAATTTATTTTAAATAATCTTTAGCAAATATATAACATTTATTACAAATTTTCGTATATAGAAAACTATTAATTTAATTTTGAATCATATGACATGTATAAACACTCTTTTAACAAAGAAGTTGATCGCAATAGAAGCATGTCATGTGATCAGGAATTTTAAATGTTATTTCGGCTACGGATTTCCTTTTGGCACTGGGGCAGGTGTGACATTCCAAATTTTGTTGGCATATTCTAAAATGGCACGATCACTAATAACGTTGGATAAACAATAAACATGGTTAGCAAATAGTGAATTATCAAAAATGTAATTTGAGTGCTGCCAAGAAAAATCTGTGAAGTACAAATTTAAGGTTTCATTGTATCGGGCTTATGAAAAATTGTGATATTGCATATAAAAAAATTACACAGATCCCTGTGTACAAGTGAAAACTTCGTTTTCACTAATGCTTAACGGTTCAGAATATTTTTTTTACTTGATCACTTTACGATTAGTATTTTGTCACACAAACCCTTGCGAATCATTCAAAATACTAACGAAACTTCTTCAATTATGTAATGCATATTACAAGTTTAAGCCCGGTAAGTGAAAGTTTAAAATTTACAAATTTTCGTTTGTCAGCATTCATATATTCAATAATTTGCTCATATTATACGTACGATGAGAATTTGCCCATCCGAGCAGTGCATAGAATACTCTTTCTTATCCAATCATCTTGATCTTTGTACGCTTCATCGATTAGGCTCTGTGCATGAAGATATGAACCAAAGTCATCCGAAATTAAATAGTAATCTTTTCCACTAGTTAAAGTGTCAATTAGAGGAGCAAATATGTGTGGATCGCCATAATGGGCAGACTCGATATCTTTAATAACTTCTTGTAGTGTAGGTTCCATTGGTACATTGCGATACCTATTATATACAGTTAGTATACATGAAGCAATGTTAAATTTATAAATTATAAAAACAATGATAATTACCTATGAGCATGCCTCAAATCTTCAACTTGATCAGCCAAGTGTCCAAACATGAATATGTTATCATCACCAATTTCTTCATGAATCTCAATATTTGCACCGTCAACAGTCCCAAGAATTAAACCGCCGTTTAGGACGAATTTCATATTACTAGTACCAGAAGCTTCAGTGCCAGCCGTTGAAATATGTTGTGAAATGTCTGACGCTGGAATAATAACTTCGGCAACAGATACATTATAATCAGGGATGAAAACTACCTAATTGACATGGTAAAGTTAATGTCAATGTGAATGACTTGAATAAATTGTAATAAAATAAAAAATATTTATTAACCTTTAAGGTATCATCGATAGACTTGTCTTGGTTAATAACGTCTGCGACGCTATTTATTAATTTGATAACCAATTTTGCAATATAATAGCCTGTAAAAAAAAACACATATGCATACATTAGAATCCCTTTTTTTGAAATACATTTATTTAATTTGATTAACTACTTCACCTGGAGCTGCTTTTCCACCAAAGATGACAACACGTTTAACAACTTGTGATTTTTCTTTTGAAGACATTTTCTTCAGGGAATTATACCGATGAATAACACTAAAAGCAGTAATAACGTTTGCAACGATTGCTATGAAATTGCGTAAAGTCGATTTTAATATTAAAAGAATTAAACAAACCCTAAAATATTCATTAATTGTCTCTTATATTCATGAATTCTTTTCACTTGAATATCAAACAAAGCATCAGGGCTAACAATGATCCCAGTCTGCTCCATGATGTGTTCAGCTAATCGAACCTGAAATAGAAGAAACAAAGAATTAGTAAAAATGCAGTATTAATTAGTTGGAACCTAATAAATTACAAACCTTGTTAGAATACTTAATCTCAGCCCATCGTTTTTTAAAATCTTTGTCATCAGCAAATGACTCAAGTTTCTTCAACAAACTTAAATTCTATAACACAGAAACTATGTAAACATATTGCAAATTGCAAATTGATATAGTGATATATAAATATTATGTAATACTTTTAGCCAGTCTTTGTTGCCTAAAACTTCTGTAATCAAATCACTTAGTCTTGGATTGGCTTGATGTAGCCATCTAGCAAATATAATACAGTAAGAGAATGGTCATTAAAACAAAAAAAAAGAATTCATGTCTAAAATACCTTCGTGGAGTAATTCCATTGGTTACATTACCAAACTTTTCAGAGCCGTAATATTTAACGAAATCTTGGAAAATCTGTCACATTTTGAAAACCGAATAAACATTTAGTAATAATAATAATAATAATAATATTATTATTATTATTATAATTAATAGTAATATTATTATTAATATTATTATTAATATTAATATTATCATCATTATTATTATTATTATTGCAATTGTAAAAGAAAAATTCAATCAAATAATCATTCTATTTACAGTTGTTTTGATCAAGTGTGAATGTAATTCAGCAACACCATTAACGTAATGTGAACCTATTAATTATTTTAGCAATTATTTTCATGTATACTATCATTAAACCGAACGTCATTAATCAAAACATACCAACTATAGCAAGATGCGCCATTCTGAACATAAGGATTGATTAATTATTAATTCATAATTTTTAGTTGTTAATTAGACGAAATACCAACCTTACGAACTGTGGCGTAGATTCTTCAATTATAGATAATTTGGCCAGAAGATCTCTATCATCTGGATATTTTCTTTCAACTTCTTGCAAGAAAAACTTAAAGCAGGGAATTATAACATAAATCGTATATTTATTGATGGTTTTCACTTTAAAAAAAAAGAAAACAGATACATAAGCTTAGCTTACTAAATTTAGATCGAAAATAATTTGCATATGTCTTGGTAGTAAACGTTTGACCATCGGTACGGGCCATTTTTCCATGGCTTCTGGAAGGACAGTGTGATTTGTGAACGAAAATGTACGGGTAACGATATGCCAAGCCTTATCCCAGTCAAGACCCTATAGGTGGATAGGAATTAGGGTTTGAGCTATAACTAAATAAAATGAGGGTGGGCACTTACCTCAATATCAACTAAGATTCTTTGTAATTCAACAATGGCAAGACTTGGATGTGTATCTATATAAAGCCTTGGTTTAATATGTATGAGATGATTAGCTAAAGCAAATCTTAAAGTAAATTTTAGCATACCATTCAATTGGATAGCAACCTTCAATAAATAAAAATATATATTTAAAAAACAATATATATTTTTTAAAAAAAAACAGATAAGATAATAATAAAATAATAATAAAATAATAATAATTAAAAAAAGACAATAATAGAATAAAAAAAATAAAATTGAAAATAATTACATAGACATAAAAGAATATATACATATTATTAGAATAAAAAAAAAATATTTATTATTAGAAATAAAGTATATTTTATTGAAAATAAAATATATACATATTAAAATAGAAAATATATGTATATATTAAAATAAAATATGTTAAAAGTAAAAACATATATTAGAAAATAAAGAGTTAGAAATAAAAATAAATATATCAGAAATAAGAAATAGTTAATTAAATCAATTATGTATATATAATTCATATATTTATAGTATTACCTTATCAGGAAACATATCAAACGGTTTAGTAGTTTTCTTGAATCGGCGAACACTTATGAGTTTAATTTAATGTCATATTAATATAACACATATATATTTTCATATGATAAAAATAAATTATAGAATGCATACATATCGCTTAAGCTAGCAGCGACCCAGAAGTATTGTTGTTTAAGACGTAATTCTTTACCAACCATATGGTTATCATTTGGATAAAGAACAGCAGTAATATTTTCTGCCTGCATTTGCTCTTGAACAGCCTTATCATATTGACCTTCATGAAATCGGCTAAGATCAAACTGACACTTTGGCTTACTACTCCATAAGCGGATATTAATGCAGTTATTGGAGCCATATCCTATATGACATTGTAAATTATAAGATAAAAACAGTATATTGAGGATTGCAATATAAACAAATAAGAAACCAACCAGGAATAGGAACGTCGTAAGCAACAGCTTTTACTATATCAGAGCTTTCCCAAACATGTTGCACACGACCTTTTTTATCAAACTTTTGGCGGACAGAACCACCGAATTGAATATCAACAACGACATCAAGACGAGGCAACTCCCAAGGATTATCGAAATTCAGCCAATAATCAGGTAACTCTACTTGATAACCATCCTTTAATCTGATAATTGAAGGTAAATTTAGAGCAATTAATGTAATAATTCACAATAAGAAATAAAGATCAATACCTTTGCTGGAAGATACCATAAGTATATCTGAGTCCATATCCCCATGCAGGATAATCTAATGTAGCCAGAGAATCCATATAACAAGCAGCAAGACGACCGAGACCTCCATTACCAAGAGCAGCGTCAACTTCTTGGTCAAGGACATCCTCCATTCTGAAACCCAAATCGTTGACACCTTCTATTGGAGAAGAGTAAGGCACGTACCAAAAGTTGAAGATAACACGTATATTAAAAAACAAATATAAATTTAAATAATGGATTCAAATTAGTAAATACCTCCGAAGCTGTCCTTCAACTCTAAATTGAGAAGGGCATTATCTAATGATCTACCCAATAAAAATTCCAAAGATAGATAATAAACACGCTTCGGTTCAAGATCGGTGTGACTCTACAAAACATGTAGTAACCTTTTCGTTAATTAAATTATCAACAAAAAAAAAGATGGATAATTATCTAATCTATATTTAAATTTCATGGAAACTAAGATATCCTTGTAATACTAAAATACACGGAAATAAGACATTGTTTTTTTAAAAAAAAGGACGGACTTGCTGAGTATGGTTCCATCGTTTAATTAATCTATCACGAACACTGTAAACACATTGAGCATAAGCATTAGATATATTATATGTATTAACAAATCAGTAAGATCACTTAAATAACCTACGAGTGAGCAGTGGCTTGATATGCACTAAAGTCATCAACATTATAAGCTGATCTAGCGAGAGTGGTGGTCACGTGACGAACAAATGATTTTTGAAAGCTTTCCTTGTCTGGGACAAACGCAAAAAAAAAAAATTTAGATATTTCATAATGACCATGACATAAAACTTAAAGCAATGAAATTTATTACTTTAAACAAAATACAAACCAACGCCCTCACCAATAGCACATTTATTCCAAAAATCCAAAAATTTTTCATCATAATTTTTTTGTTCACATTTTGTTGGACCAGTTAGAGAGCGGGGACGGAATTGTCCTTCGGGGTGAACAGTGTTTGACATTATGAGAATGTTTAGAGAGGACTTATAAAATCGAGACTTGAGAAAGCTTTATATAAGACTTCGAGGTCGAGAATTTTTAAAGTAAAGGGGATTTAGATGCCTTATAATTTCACAGGACCTTTAATCGTACGATAAAGTTAAACTAGGAACTAGTAACCGGTTTAAGTCACACAAACGCGTAAATATGCATAATTTTTTACACAATGTACAAAAATAGACGCGCGGCGTTGCCGAAACTACTTATTTGATATTTTTATCATAGATATTTATTTGGTGCACTCTATAACAAAATCGATACAAGATTAAGGTTAGGGTTAGGTCTGGGTAAAATTGTGATAGGTCCATTTTTAATTATGTTATATGACAGGATTTATCATAGTAAAATATTGAGATATTGAAGGGGTGCGCCAGAGTGCGGGACATCAAAAAATAATGCCCTTCATTATAAATACATCAAAATCGTAATTTCAGTCATCAAAGCGCATAGAAATGTGAGCCCTCCGAACAATCACATAATGGTAATATCAAAAAAACATAAAAATAATGGTGAAAATATGAACAGGAGGAACCTCGTCCGGTGTACAACATATAAAAAAATTATTTTACAATACCAGATCATTCCGCTAATAGATTTTATGATTATAGCTCCCACACCATTTTTATTATACGTATAAAATAATAGCATATATTAATGGAATGATCTGGTATTGTAAAATAATTTTTTTATATGTTCACATCGGGTGAAGGATCAGTCGTGTAACGTCGACGGGGGATCGCTACGTATGCGGAATATTGCAGAAATCCACAACTACCATGATGGGGCCTGAGTAGGTTGCGCGGCCTGCGTAGGTTGCGTAGCCTGCGTAGTAGATTCAAAAAATCTTATATTTCCCATCCCTAGTTCCTCCTGTTAAAAATATGATCTTGATTTTTTGTTACACTTGATCCTATTATCATAAATATGATCCTGATTTTTTGTTACACTTGATCCTATTATCAAAAATACGTACCGATTTGGATAAGTATGATAAAGTTTTGTTTTAATTGGTTGTTGATCCAGATGCAGTATAATATTTGTCATATGAAGTCGTACAAAAATTCTTTCTTTAGGTAATATTCCAACCCCAAGTTGTTCGAATATTTTTTTCACAAATACGTTCTTCAAGTTCTAAAGTATCGTTTAAACCTTTGGGATCTCTTTGAATCAAATAGGAAAAGGTCATCCGCTCATTCCGCTTATATGTAAGAACGGAGAAAAATATGAAACTTTTATTGGTTATTTTAGTCAATTTAAACTAAATCTTATGGTTTAACTATAAAAAAAAAATTTTTTTTATTTATATTCTAAGTAGAATATAATCTTAAAACTAAGGGACTTTACTTAGAAGACAAACATACTGTCGTCTATTGGACTGTGCTAATGTATTTTGCTTAAGCGTTGATTCAAATAAACTTTTATCGCTAATTGTTTAGTTTGAATAAGTACAGGTTTAATGTTTAGATTTGTTGGCTATTATAGTGTGTTAGGTTGGTTAATCGCAAATTTAAATTTTTGGTATATAAGGTATATTGCTGTATTATATAAATTTTTAGTAATTTCGAATTTATTAATATTAAATATTTAAATTTATTTGCTTTATGCGTATTAATCTATTCTCTAAATATATGATAAAGTATTATGTGCAGATTTGTTGGATTGAAAGTTTTTTTTGATATGAAGTTCCTAGTAGTATTAGAGCGATGAATTTTTAAAATTATGTAATTTATTGGTTGATTATCACGGGTAATCATTGGTAGAGCATCCAATTAAAACAAACTTCCATCATGCTATTTGGATATGCAAAGATAAAAGATTGTTTTTTTTTAGTTTAGTTAATGAAAAATATAATAGTTATATCATGTAAATGTGAATAGCCGAACGAACAGAAAATTTGTACGGTCTGGAAGATCACATAAAAAATTAAACTTCGATTAACGCGAAAATTTTGTCGATTAAAAAAAACCCATATATCTTATACATTTTATGGTCATGAATTCATAATAAAGCATAGCAATTTTTGATAATTTTATTTTAGTCAGTTCACTATAGAAAAAGTTGAGACTCTATAAATTTTTTTTTATTAATATTAGGTTTTTTTTCAATTAAATAAATCAATATTTCATATGCTTTACAACGTCTATACAATGTTACAGGCTTTCGCTTTCAAACTTCTAAAAACAATATATTTTTTTTATCGCTAATTTGTTAAATGCCGCAAAACAATTCGCGTTTCTATTTTTCAAACTATGTGGGAACTGATAAGAGCCATATGTCTCAACACTAGTGATGTGCTGCGTACAGTACGTACTGTACACTAAAATTTTTGCTGATCAATTTGTCAGCTAATCGATGCACGCAAAATTTTTCAGGTATAATACACCCTAAAAAATTTCGCTGACTATGCGATCTTATTAAAAAGATGGGCTCGCAATTAGTTTAGGGTTAGGGTCCCACCAGTAAATTAATATTTTTTTTCTGTTGTTTTGATTTTTTGCGGTACACATGATCCTGAAATTTGATTGGCCAGAGAAATTAGGGTGATGATTTAACTACTTTTGATAAGAGCTGGCGCTTCAAATCATAGCTATTTTCTTTAATACTAATGTTTTCCAAAGTGGCAATCTTTAATAGCTATCAATACTCATAGACCGACAGATTCAACACATCTGCCGTAAGTTGGAATGGGATTTAAGTGGATTTGAAATTTCCTAGTTAAATTGGGGTTAGGGTTAGGGTGTATATATAACAAAGTCAACCCCAAAATGCGGTATTATACAAAAATTCCGAATCCACTTAAATTCCGTTTCCACTTGCAACATATTGTTAGACCTGGAAGACGTGATCCACGGGTAACCGATTTCGTCGTGGGATCTTCGCCGTACGACCACAAGTCACGCCCTCCCAGCTGTGAAGATTTCTTACTATACTCGGGTTAACCATGCTTATAATGCCGATAATGCTTATATTGCATATAATGATAAGCGTTATAATCGTTATAAGCGCGATAATGGATATATGAGATATCGGCACCCTAAAAATCAATAATAAATTAGTTATAAATATCATGTAATTCGGCTCGTGTAATAAAGCGGATTCCATTACCTTGCAATCATCGAATTAAGGGATCTTCTATGAGTGACTGTCGAAGACCATTGTTAAAGTAAATACTCACCTGTGAAAGTAATAAAATCCCACCTCGTTGTGTACAGTATTCCCGGCGTAGTGTAGACTATCCTTAGATAACCAGGCCCAAATCGAATCCACTCGCAAAATCTACACGGTCCTACCAAAAAATCTCGAAATCCATAATCCCGACATCACGCGATGCGAAATTAAAATTTAAAGTCTGACAATGATTGTTAATGTGATTACTAATCTTTAAATATTAATTGTTACACCGCGTGATGTCGAGATTGTGGTTTTCGAGATTTTAGATGTCTGGATTTTATGGTAGAACCGGCGCATAACAATTGCCTGACACACCGAGAAAATGTGTACCAGGTTCAGGATTATGATAGAACTATAACTGTATAATGCCAAAGAGATTATGTATCATTATGTCATTAATTTATGCAAAATTAAAATTTAGCAAAAAAGATGCAAAGTTCGTTAACAGACTATTTTGCAAGCTAACTATTGGATATGAGATGCCGTGAACAAAGTCACGAGATCACAAACCACGCATGATACAAATCAGCGATTGCTTGGTTATGGTAAGTATGTGAAAACGTAAATATATGGTAATGGGAAGTAAAGTTATGTGTAGGCGAGTATTAGGTCATGTAATAGCAGTTATTTAGAGGGCAAGTGAATTGTGTTAGGTCCTCCTCTTTTGTCTTTGGTGCTATCTCGACGAGAAGTCTGGCTTTGTAGTATTTTCCCGCTAGACTTCTGGTAGCTTAATAAGTTTGATAGCTCGACCGAGTAGGTCGGATATCTATTTTTGACTTTTGATAGCCCGACCAAACAAGTCGGATATCGGGTAGATGAGTTAACTGTCTATAGAGGAAATCAATAAGACAATTCTATAGAAAGCCTGTCGCAGACCACGTGATCAGCGGGAAAATCCCATATTATGTATTTCATGTTGTGTACTAGGGTATTTATGATCGGGTGACAAATTGAGATTCCCTAAATCGGCGATCGCTAATCGAAATTCGAAATTCGACTTCGTGTAACGGTCAGACGGCTTTCGGTCGAAAAAGGTAGATTGGTTCCACCATAAAATTTCAACATCTAAACCATAATCCTGACATCACGCATCGTTACAAATAATATTTGAAGATTAGTAATCACATTAACACTCATTGTCAGACTTTAAATTTTATTGCCGCATCGCGTGATGTCGGGATTATCGATTTCGAGATTTTGAATGTCTGGATTTTTTGGTAGAACCGTTATGCGCCATTTCTTAATTTATGTCGATTATTATTAATTGACACATGTCATCTTTCAATTTGAAAATGACATCATTTTTTAATCAATAATAAATAAATGTTTTACTATATCGCATTTAATAAATGTTTGACATATGTCATTTTTCAATTTTCATCGACTGAAAAATGTTAATTTTTACTGCAGATTTTTTAATGCAGACTTATCATTATAAGTATTGGCATAAGATTGATAATACATATATCGAATCAATAGAGATAAATTAAGTACAATAAATTGAATTCATGTGTTTCTTTTATCACCTAACTCAATACACAAGAACCCCAACTCATCATGTTCAAAAACTCCTAAATCATAATACATATTTAAGCATAATACATGCAGATTATCATATTCAAGAATGCCAACTTATGATATTCAAGAACCTAGCTCATCATGTTTAAAAACTTCCAACTCATAATATTTAAAAAGCCAACTTATAATATTCAAAACGCCCAAACATCATATTCAAGAACATGCGGTTCATGATATTTATGTAGATATGGCCTGATATCGCATAGTATAA